CCATCGATGGACTGCTTCCCCCACAGGGATACGCGATGATGCGCCACATGCTATCAGTCCATTCTTGTTGCATGCATATTGGCAGCTTCTGTGCGGCGATTTATTTTTCACGTGCTTACCAAACAACCGACACCATGCATTCACTTTGTTCCAACGACAACATGTACGATTCAGGCAGTTCTTACCAATCAAGCCTACGCGTAAGGTACATCTGTCAAGAGCTAGTAGCTGCCGACATCGCGATATGGAGAGTCCTTACCGCATATTTCCTAGGTTTTTTCCTTGTGGCATGCATAAATATGCGTTAGTGCACTCTGATAAAATGGCCCTTTAGCTGTTAGAAAGGCAAAGCCCAAATGCGAGTATCCCCCCATAATCCAGGTACATCTAATTTGGAGAAAACAAGTTGACACTATGAGGTGTTACCCGGTTAGCTTCTTTAACGATATGAGGCGGCGATTGTGCTCAACGAACTGCTTTGAGTCTCCGAGCAGCGATTGGGACAGCGAGAATGCCCATTTAAAATGCAGAGCTGGGACTAAACCACAGGACTATACAGAGACGAATCTCAGCATCATCAGCCCAATACATGCTACGCGGAATGAGCATTCGAGACATTGGGGATCGAATGCATGGGCAGACAGCGAACTGATTCTGGCGACTACTGGATGTTGTTCGCCCGAAAGCACTGCGCTCCACGACTGATTTCGTGCACACTTGCACTCATCAGACAAAGACAACCGGGCTGCGGATTGAGTCTTGGACGTTAACTGAATCCTCCACCCCTGGGCCACGGAGTCGTGGCAGGCACCTCTTGTCACCGCGGTTAATGACTCTTTGAAGGGGGCGTTTTGAGGTTTACTTTAGACTGAATCATGGCCCCGTTTGGGACTGCGCGTCGCGACTCACTCAACTCGTGCTTCAAAATGATTCCTCTGAGCAGATGCGGATTCGAACATAAATCGGTTCTTGGTCAATCACAATGGCCACATGTTACAAAATTTGGTGGCTAACCAGCCAACAGAGCTAGCGTAGTGCAGATATGTAAGAGCTTGAGAGCTAGACAAGCGTGGGTTGGTTATGACGCGAACAGTTCTCCTTCCGCTTGAAGTAAACTGGTTATCAGAAATTGCGTCCAGATCTTCAAGCATCGATTCAGTTGTGGGACACCGACGAGGGAGCGTGAGTCTTCATTGCCCAACTAGCGAATATTTGAGGGGCAATTGAGAATGGGTGCTTGATCTACTATTCTTTATCCGTAACCACACCTTCAATATACGGGTTAACCGTTGCTGCGAATTCCATGGTGACTTCAGTGGATATCCGCACCGAAGTTCAGCTTAGATCAACCAGGGGTAGTTGCCCCGAATTCAACCTCACTGCAATGGGTAAACTGTTGCAGCCCATCACAGACTGCTCGTATTTCGATCTTACATCACAGGTCTAGGTAACGATCAAAATCTTATTTGTAAAGCAAAGCACAGTCCAAACTGTGTAAATGAGGAAGGCTAATTGGTTGCGACGGCTGCACATTAGTTACTTTGCGTCTTCTGCAGTTTATTGGCCCGTACGTTCTGCACGTTTCAACTACTTCTGCCGTGTTCGCCTTGATCGTGTCAACTCACCATTAGCTGTCTGGCCAGCGCGCATGCTTCGTCCACTCCAGGCAATCCTCTTCACCACTTTTTGTGACAAGACTGTGCTTTGTTTCCGCTGGGCTGAGACAATCCTGATTACTCTCTGATTCGTTCATCCGTGATCAGTTTGCGTCGGCAGTGACTGATTGGCCTCTTGACTGTCTACACCACGCCAGTCATTTTCGCTCAAGCGACCAGCTATTATCACACAAGCCAGTGGAGTTGACTAACCGGATGAAGTGACTCAAGGAATATTCGTCAGTTTGGACACATCCGCAGAAACGTTCCGGGACTGAGTGAGAATACGCGATCGTGCCCTAATCACAGATCAATACTTCTGCAAATGTTGTGAGAACTGGAGTACTCGTAAAGACTGCCGGTCTGATCATCCAGTGAAATTGTTAGCTGCGCAGCGGGCTCACCACCTACCTTGCACCTGAGAACAAGACAATTTGGAGTTGTGTCCAAAAGCTGCAAATGCCACCGTTCAATGATCATGAGAAAGTGAATGGTCCCGCCTGCTCATAACTACCTTGATTACCTCTCAGTTTCACAATGTGAGAACAAAATCTGTCCCTGTCCGTCGTACAGAGCAGTACACCAGTACTGTTACGGTGGAAAACACGGTAGATATAAATTCTCAGTGCGTATGGGCTCGGTCGACTCTAGGTGGCTCCGCATAGAAGCCAACTGCGTGTGGTACGTCTGTAAGATTGGCCCAATCGGGTACGCCGTTCTTTTCTGATTCTGTTATCTGGCCGAGATTCACTCCACGAGAACAGCAAATGTATCGAGGTTGGCCACAAGATGGCGCGTTTCTGACATTTAGGTTGTTGACCAATGTACGTCCAATCTAGGTGCTTTGCTCTCGCGCAACTGTCATGTCGGATTGCTAGAGTAGACAGACCGCCATCAAATGAAGAACAACGGTAATCATAATACACGTTAACTAGAGGTGGGCAACACCTTAGCTATTGTGCCGCAATACATTAGAAAAGAAATACAACAATGGTACGTCGGCTGAGTCACCGGAGTCATCCCGGAAAGCTGACAGCCGGCTATTGTGCGGCAAAAAAGTTAAATTATGCCTAGCAAATGAGATCGTAGTTGGAGGGAGAGGCTAAGCGGGATGGGGACAGAGAAATACAACACGAACACCACAGAGGTCGGCTCCTAGCCATATCAATAAGTGTATCCAGCCAAATATGTTCGTCGTCTTTCGGACCCCAACCAGGGAGCCGAGAGGCTCCAACCGAGGCGAACTTCGAACTACGGGCCTTCATTCCTCCTGATCAAGCCATAGCTTGGCCACCTCCTCTTTTTCCAGCCACACCCCGCAAACAACGCACGTCGCGGGAGCTGATGGGCTGGCATGTGCAACACGTGGCCCAGCCATCGGAGCCTGGTGTGTGATATAACGGTGCCGAGTGGTTCACTGCTTCTTCATGTGCCATAAACGAGGCGTCGAATACGCTCATTGTTCACGCAGTGTTCCCACCAAATATGTTTCGAATTGCGAAGGCACCGGTTATAGAATGTAACTAGCCTCTATACATCTGCCGATTTAATGGCCGTTTCACAACCGCACACGGTGAGCTGGAGAACAGTGACGTAGGTCAAATTACACTGAGAGGCCACTCTAGTTATACCTAGATTGACCATGGGTGTTGACCTCAGATCAACATTAGTCTGTCGATTGATATTTTTCCGGTCTGTTCCTATTTGACCCTTACGCATTAGCTGGTTTTGACCTCCGGCCTTAGGTTGTTCCGATATTTGGAGCTGATGGTTGTTGTGATCACGGGTCGCGAGCTTCGTATATCTGCTCTCGAGGGACCGCACTATCCTACCAGTAACTTTGAAGAAGAATAGGTATCAACAGTGCGCCGTACCGACGCTTCGCTGCCGTACAACCACCAACAGTCGCGCGTGGACTACGGATGCTGCGAGGGTCGCACGCTCCTTTACGCAGGCTCGAACCCGTGCCATCGGACTACAACAGGTTTGTGATCCTTTAGGCTACTGGCCGGCAGTAACTACAAGTGGCGAAATGACAATCTAATTCAGTGAGGTCCTGGCCGCAACGCTAAATGTAGTGAGTACAGTCCAGCGGAAGTTGGGTGAGTCATGAGATGAGGCGAATGTGTCACAGCGTAATTACTCATGGAGTGTACTCCACACACACAGTCACATAAGCACGGATAACCCAATATCAATCGGGACTCGAAGGAGGGAGAACACACGGAGGAGAGCAACAAGGCGACGAACACGCGGGTGTCTCAATCCTGTCTAGATTCATTCACCAGTATAACCTGGGTTCAGCTCTAATGTAGCGCGTTATGAGACTAGTACACCAAATGCATATAGACTTGATTGTCTCATACGTCTTTGCCGTTAAGCAAGAGTTAAATATCTCCACTTTCTATGGAATTGCAGGACGGCAGTGGTAAATATACACTCACTGGGGATAGTTCACTAAGGAACCGTGACATCACAGCAAGCTTCGGAATCTGTTTGAAATCATAGGCCATCTATGTTACACTACTGAGAAAGAATCTATTGCTATCCGCAGCAAAACAATAGAAGGACATAAATACTATGCCGATGTGTGGTATAGCTGCAACGTGCATATTGGGGATATTACGAGATCACCCGCATCTCTGCACAAACTCGAATGAGAACATGAGATCAGGTGTGTGTAAACCATGTTTCAGTGCGCACGACTGTGTCTGGTAGTCCAATTCATCGGGGACATCGATCTTCGTGAGTGTTCTGGAGGCGACTTACTTATCCATGGTTTCAGGTGTCCACAAGACCAAAGCAAAATCGAAGAGAAAAACAGCAGTGTTACGAGCAGAAAGCTTTGCGCTTCTCTCGATGAGACCTAACGCTGTTGGAAGGGAATGAAAGGATAATTCACGTTCAGTAGGAACCTTTTGGAGTACGTGGGTCCCTACTATTCATGGTAAAGGCATCGAGTATAGCTGTAGTTAAAAGGTGCAGCGACAGTTAAACAAGGGTTTCAACATTAGGTAGTTATACGCCGGTACTCCTGCTGGATCTTCGTTGGATGGTTGTGTACGACCCGCGATGCTGCCATGGGACCCAATACAGAAAGTGACCCAATTGAAGCAGAGAATGCATGAGGGAATAGGAATGTATGTAAAAGCATCGAATTAACAAGAAACCAATTGAGAAAAGCCTCAAACGGAACTTGTACAGGGGAAAAAAGCAGTTTTCCAATACGATAAAAATACTAACAGCATGTTTGTTTGTCTCTAAATGCGAGGAAAAAATTGAAAAACATCAACAGAACTATAAAAATAGAGATGATTTGGGTATGAAAAATTGGGTGATAAAGAATCAGAACAACTGAGACGGGATTTTTTGAGTGTTGGTAATCTGGGCGAATTCCAAAATGTCCTTTTCGGTGCACTCTGTCGCGTCACGGAAGTACTCGCGAAGGCACACAGAGTACGCGGTGTTCAGATAGAGCAAAAGTTCATCTACGGTTCGCCATTCACTTGTACCAATCTGAGGGGGGTAGAAATCGGAGAAAAATTAGTTTGCCTAAAAAGGACACAAACAGAAAGCACATGGAGTGGATTCGATGATCGCTTTTCGCGTAATGTTTTTCAATGCCCAATGTAAGCAACGATTTTGTGATACTGGTCGTGGCTGGGTTATGACCGTACTGACCTTCGTCGCGGTCGATCTAAGGGAAATCGAGTTGGCCAGAAAATAGATTTCTGTGGACACAACAATCTTCGGCCAGACGTGGAGTTAGATTTCGAGTACAATGTCACAATTCGGCCATGCAGTGGTCACATATCCGAAAACGTGAGGTCCTATTACAACTCATAAGGCACGCACGTTTTCCCAGCTCCTTCACAGTCTGCCGTTCAGTAACTATTAGGCCAAATCGAACCAATACCCACGAGTGGCGCTACAACGCTGAGCCAACCAACAAGCAACGTGGAGGGCCTGTGAAAGGTCACGCGGGAAGCGCGCGAAACCTGACGAGGGCTTGTGATTGGGTGCGCGATCATCTGACCAAATACGGTGCGCAGCAATGACGTAAGCAGCTAAGGTTCGATTTCTAAATGCAATTATGTTTAACGCAGAATAAATACCGTCGACTGAGTTTTTACTTTTCACGTTGGATTGGGATATTAGACAGAGGGGACTGATGGCGGCAGTACAATACATGCCGCTGAGTCAGGGGGTGAAGACGGTGGGTCAGGTAACTACTTTGTTGACTGCACTTTTGAGCGGTTCAATATCCATTGCCATGCAGAGGACGGAGTTGGTTATTGGAGGCAGGATTTCTTTTGCTAAGCCGAAAACTATCTTATTACACGAGTTAGGCCGAGAAATCATCCCTGATGGGAAAATTGGACAACTTGGAACCGATAGGTCAATACCATTTTACTCATCGAGCAGGAAATGCCTGACATGCAAACGCGATCGGATGCTCAGTAAAATGTCCACACAGTGCGCATTCGTGTATAAACAGGTGCATGGAGGGGAATGGCCGGACGAATGCGAACTGATGAGTTGGACTTGTTGGGTGTATAAGAGACATAACATACGCCAAACGAGAATCGGCGTCAGCTCTGAAATTCCCGGCAAGGCTATGACAGCATCGCTCTGGGCATCATGATGGGAAGAAGTGTGTAGGTAGCGGACTACTCCCGTGACCAGCCTGAGGTTGGTGGTCTTAATGCAATCAGTACTAAAGGCAGGTTACAGAGCGTTCGGAGAACGAACATTGGGCAGTTTCATTTTCGGTGGTCAGTATCAAACTAAAAGGTGAAAGTATTTCATCCGATGCAACTGCCGTCGGCGGAGGTTCGCAATACAGACCATCGAAGATTACAGACTGTCCATCGAAATGGATGAAATCAAATTGAGTAACATCGTTCTCACGAGGAGGGTAGATAGCTGCACTACCATAGTGTCTTTTGTGCCGATTTATATAGCCTTTAAACCGCTACTAGTAAGCCTTAGTGTGCATGAGCAGCAGAAAACATGGAAACGCGTCAGACCTGCCAGTGGCTATCAATATCCTCAAAGTTCAACTTAGACTTCCACTACTCATAAGTAGTTAAAAGGGCGAGCGTCTGCTCACAAGGTACACTAATGGTGCTTTTGCGGGAAATCCACTGGCACTCCGAAAAGTGGTTATCCGATGAGCCATAAATTAGTGGGATGTTTCATAAAAACGGGTTAATCGCTGAGCTATGTGATTCCTGAGACAACCGTCCGAATGAGAACCATGTTCTGGATATTCCTCTGACGATATTCAGGTTTATACACCCGCAACATTCGTGTGGAATGGCACTATTACTGCCCTGAAGTTGTGCAAAAGGGGACCTCATATGCTGCTGAAGAAATGCGCTCGGGGGACGTTCACTGCGAAACCGATATTCCCGGCTTGTACCGCACCGGTAATTGTGCACTATTGCCGGTGCAATTATCAAGAAATCCAGCTACGTTTGCTTTGGCTTATTAACCATTAACCGGATAGTGGAACACAGAACCCGATTGACGTGACTCAGCATGCCGTGGCGATGCAGGTTACTAACAGATACTCAAAAAGACGGAGAACTCAAATAAGTATGAGCTGTTCGAAGGATCAAAACAAGCTAGTTCCTCAGAAAGAAGGGCTACAGGGTGGAATCACGGGATATACCACAAGAGCGATTCTGACATCTCGAGTACATCGTGACAGACAGAGCTCCTAAGAAACCGAATGTCCCCATTCCTGATGCCGACGCGCTCCAATGGACTCTAATTTTCCCCCAAGCAGACCTCATCCATGGATGATGCGCATAAGCCTGGGTTTGGGACATACAATACATATATTTCACATGCAACGGATTGTGTTTGACCGTCCCATAACGGGAAGGATACCATTGTCTATTTCAACGTCAGTGGGTCAGAATGAAGTCGCATCAGACAGTGAAAACAACTACTTTTCAAGCCAGATTCCCAGATCCGTCCGATTGGCCGAACGAAATTCAGGTGTCAGACTCACCGACGGGAACGAAATTCTAAAAGGCGGATCTCGGCAACGTCCCTAGAGTCAGGGGGGGGGGGGAATTGTGCCGTTCAAAAAGTGACGGGGGTCGTGAAGTTACTTTACTTGTACCAGAGTATTCAAGGGAAGTGTTGAATGAAATGGGTGCCATCGTATAGGGTGCAAATATTAAAGCTGTTCACTTTATCCATAGTACCTTTGTTTCCACAGCTCCCATCATACGAGGCTTCTATTCACTGAAGTATTCACAGAGCAGGACAATTTAATTACAAACGTTCCACCACAATCCTAGGTAACAGTCAGTTCAGGAAAGTCAGCAGTTAAGTGGGAGAAGCTTATAGAAGACAAATTCATCCTGCAAACACTTGCAATCAAATTGTCCAGCTCGGTGGGCACAACAACAATTGAAAAGTCAAGTTGGGCTTCCATTATTGCAAGCTCCCACCTATCTGGATAACGTGAGGAGACTTAACACAACCGGCACACGAAATCACCGTCACTCATTTACTCACCGAGTAGCCGCATTTATGTGAGACTTCAAACCAATCTTAGCATAACACCCGCAACTAGTAGGATGCGGTGGATTGATCGTTACGCAATTATCATCCAAACCTTATGACTCGATGCTCCAACAGAACCACTGCTACGCCAGATGGTGATGATAACCTAAGCCGGGTTCATCATTCAAAAGCATCCCAGATCCCGCTGAAGCAGCACTTGAGGATATATAACTAATATCAGGATATACGGATATGTGGGGCCATTTTCCTCTCTCGTTTTATAAATGTACGTCGGAAATCAGAGTGCGCTCACCTTGTCGAAAAATACAGGAGGGAACTGTTGTGCCACCTCCCAAGCAAGGTCCCCCAAATTCTTCAACGCATCCTCGCGATGAGGGATCCACCGCTCATTAAGGTAAGCTCGAGTGCGCGTCCGTGACACAAGCAATTTGGCAAATTTGATCCGGTAACTCCGTACGAGGATATCCTAGAAAGAATAGGAAAACATACAACTGAAGAGAGAACCCAGCACCAATCCAAACATGTTCAGTCACCCGTTGGTCTAGACAATGAGAAACCTGTGTTACAGTCGCCACATAAAGTATGCAGTATTGTGAATGCCTATAGTGTAAAGGTTGTTTGTGAATTAATTTTTATTTCAAACTAGCTATGTCGCGACATTCGAGGCTGGGAAGAAGATCGCGTCACACTGCTCTGAACTTTCTTTACCCCTTAACTGGTTCTGTTTCTTTCGGACTGACAAATTATGAATACCTAGAAGGCTGATTTCAGACTCGGATGTTGTCCAAGCGTTTATAAGGTTGTACACTTGGGCATGTGCTTGGCACTTTCAAAGTGCATGGTGCCGCCGTTGCAGGGTCGAACAGCAGCAGATGCGGTCGGTGTGGCAATGAAGTCAACGGTGCCTGCATCCATTTCTCCTACGCCTCGTTTGTATCCACTGTATCTGACGATCCTATCTGTCTTTGATATATTCATGAGGTAGCGAATTTTTGAGACCTCTTCACAACAGTTAGATAGTTCGCTACACATCCGGCAGAGTGCTAGACCGGGACCCGTCGGTAAGTTACATCCCTCGGGCTCCATAGCTTACGACACAGCGCAACTCATCGTCCACGAACGTTGCAGAGGAGAAAACGGTTATTTAGTGCTCTGAGCGTTTGAAGTACTGCCTGATTTAAAAGCTACTGCGAAGAAAATTTTAAACGATTTTATCTATTTGTCCGTTCCTTTCGAATGGAACAATCCTCCTAATTAGTGGCATAAGCCTCTGGTATCGAGGGCCACGAGTTCGGTTACTAATAGAGCCGAGGGATATGCAGTACTGACGACGCTCGGTAGGACTAAATGGCCGTCGAATATCTCTCCGAATGTGTGGGAGAATATCTCTGACTTGGAAGCCACTGCGAGGAATTTTCAGTAAATTCCCTCTTAATTATTATTACAAGTATTATCGTGGCGACGTTAGCCAAGGTGACTGGATCAACGGTACTTCGTCGCGTGGATCACAATCGAACTTTTAACTGGACTGACGTGCCACCGACGCCCAGTATAGCCAACTAATCACAAAAATGGTCCAGCGATTTACTCAGCTCGGTGGCTGCATAAATGTTAGGGAATTGCCGGATTAAACATTACAGACTCCAAAAGCTAAAAAAGTAACATAATGTTAAATATCATATTATGCACTATTTTGAGAGTTGTTGGATGAGGAAACGAAATAGGAGGTGAGGAACAAAGAGACTCACAACACAAACACCATCATTATGATCATCATTATACAAGTTAGCTAGAGGTGAGAAGCACCTCAGCTGTTCCACACCAATATGAGGGATGATCGAGGGCTCCAAATGGAAGCCGATGAACTGGGCTTGGCCGCTTGCTTGGACATGGGCTTATCGACAGAGCAGGAACGACGCTCCGCGTTCACAAGTGAGTTGAAACTAGAAGATAATCGCCTATCAAAGCAAGGTGGGGGAGGGCCAAGAATCGGGGACTGAAAACTGGGGGAATATCAGTGAAGCTGGAACAGGACGATAAAATCGAAAAAGCGCAAGAGGAGGAATAAGATGGGAAGGCTTGAGCAGTAGCATTCAAACTCCTACCCATCCTGCTCGACGCAACAGATATGGCACCGTTGAATATCCTCTGCGGTTGCCAGAGCATCAGAAAATTGTTTTATGATAGATTCATAGTATTACGTGGGCAGGATACTGTCAGGTTGCTCAGGCCTAGACAGGAGAACGAATAGGGTTCTCAACCAAAGCCTTTGGTTCAAAAACCTGACCGCAAGGCAGCGAGTTTGGCGTTGGGCTACAAGGAGTCCATTTTAAGGAATAAGGAGCCACCGTCAATCCAACCCCCAACCTGGAGGACCAGGAGGGTGAGTTTGTCTGGCCTCTAAACATTGATCAGTCTGGTATGAGTGGCTCAGCATAGCTTAATGGATCTCGGAAGCAAGCAAACCATCGCACCACCGTAAGGTGAATCCGACAAAACGTGTTCATCATCTTTCGGGCCCCAATCAGGGAGCCGTGGCTCCAACCGAAGCCAACTTCGAACCAAATTCCTCTTGACAAAGTCATCGTCTGGCCACATCTTTCCTCTACATCCCGGTCGCGCAAACAACGCACGTTGCGGGAATCGATGTGCTGGCATGTGCAACACGTGGACGTGCCATCTGGACATGGTTCGTGAAATAACGGTGCTGGTACCACCGATTAGGTGGTTGAATTTCAGAAATACTGATCCACATCAAGGGTCAGAGGAAGCCCAAATCCCTGCCGATCTTGCAGAAGAGCTTTGCATTTTGAGGGTGCAAAGCAAAGCTTGAAACGGCTGACATCCAGCGCTAATATGTGCAACGCAGCTTAGCACGTTCGTGAGCTATCATAAATTAGAGCAATATCGTCAGCATATATAAGAAGTCATTCGCCTGGGAGCAGCTCCACACCTTCTAAGTCATGTTCTGTGAATGCAGACTCCATGACTTCGTCAATAGCGAAGTTGAAGGGGAAAGGTAACAGCAAGCACTCTTGTCTTACACCACTGGGGATATTCAATGGCGGCGACAAGTTGCCGTAAACCCTCACTCTGCCCGAGCTACGTGCGTACAGCGTTCGGATAATGTTTACATATTTCTCGGACACACCTTTCCTGAGTAGACAGTCCCAAAATGCATTGACCAACCGAATAGAAGGCACTTTTGATGTCGAGGAACACCACAACAGTGGGTCGGCAATATATGTGACGGTGCTCCAACAACCGACGTAAAAGGAAGACATGATCGATGCAGCTCCGACCGCGGCGAAAGTGTGCTTGCTCCTCACGAATCTGGGTTCCACGGGTGTCAGTCAATCTGTGAAAGATGACAGAGTCAAGCAAATTGGAGGCGATGGAGATCAGACTGATTCCTCTATGGTTGCCGCATTCCGAACGTGAGCCTCCTTTGAAGATCGGGACAATAACGGAACGGCTCCAGTCGGTTGGGAGAGTTTCGCGCCCCCACGGTTTCTCTACTAACTCGCGCTTATCATCAACAAGAGTAGGTCCCCTGAATTTGAAGAAGAATGGAGAAGGGTCATATAGTCCCGCGACTTTGTTCAACTTCAGCAGTCCGATGTCACGTTCGACTTCTGAGCGAGAGAGTGGATACAAATGGACGGTTCTAGGAGCGGGGCGATTACTGGTCAGCGAGAAAACTAACAATTCCGACCGATTAATTAGCTTCTCAAAGTACTCAGGCTAACGCTCCAAGCGTTCTGATAAATTGTGGATAGGCTGTCCACTTTGGTCACATATACGTCACTAACGTCAAGTCTCCTGTTGCCCGTTTCCCGTATCACAGAGGGAACAACTCCCGATGGTTACCAAAGGTAGCTGTCACTTCCATCTCCGACGCATGACGAGGCCACCAGGATTCGTGGTCTCCCTTCAGAATGGCACGGAGTTTTGCCCTGAGGTCTTCGCGAGTCTCATTGTGTTCGCTTCTAAGCAGAATGTGTCGGCGAGCATCGATAAGTTCCAGAGACTGCGCAGAGACCCAATGTCTATGCTGGCTATTAGATTTGCCACATGAGGATTATCTGCTGCTAGTAACGTCTGGTGAACATGCGACCAATGACCATCAAATGTGGTCCCTGGGTGCTTACTTAACCCGAATGCTAGCCTATTTCGACACGCACTGAGAACATCTGGCTCCGCCAATTGGCAGGTGTCTATGTGCTCACAGCGTCGTCGCGCGTGTCCGCCAAATCGTACCAACAGGTCAGCACACATAATTGCATGGTCAGTGTCCACACATGTACTACAAATCGATCGACAGTATCGAACGTAGCCTCTCCAGCGGTAAATGATCGCAATGGGATCGATTTGCGTCCATGGCTGGTGGGCGCCATGTCACCCTCCGGCGAGTGCTGTGTCGGTACTTAGTGCTCGTAAGAAATAAGCGGACATCTTCACACAAGTGGAGCAATCGCTCGCCGTTATCGTTACGGGAGCATGCACCATATTTGTCGCCGAGATACAGCCCAACGGATGACAAGTTTCCAACTTGAGCACACAGTTTCTCAACCAGCGCTACAGTGTCCGTGCCCATTTTGTGAAGAATGAGCTCGTTCAGTTGGCGATAAAAGTCGTCTTTTACCGAATCGTTGCTACAATTTGTGGGGGTATAGGCAGCGATGACAGACAGGCACCTATTAGCCCCAAGCGACTTCAAGGCTTTGAACGAACCAGCCAGTCGCACGGCGCACATCCGGCTCCTGATTAAGATCCAATCAACCAGAGTGGCTTCGGTCCGGGGACTCAAGGCAATATCTACTGATGAGACAATACGAAATGCGTGCATTTGCCAGTCTTCGTCTTCTTACTGCGCTTTTCAAATTACTAAAGTGAACTAACTGTTTCAAATTTCTGAAAAGACGAATTCCCTCCGAAACAGTCAAGCTACTTCGCCGCATTGTCAACCTGCGATGTAAGATTGCTTGCAAGCGTGTGGAAATATCCTTCCTCTCCGAATGTATCCGCCAGCGTCGTTATTCTCGATCGATTGTGAAAATGTTACGTAGAAACAAATTGAGGCCCTCTGCAGCTAATCTTAGACGGGTTGCATCCGCTCATCTTGAGACGGCACAAACCAGACTTGTGGATTTACTCGAGACACACACACGCCTATTGCCCGTCATCGAAAACTTGTCCCTCTGTTGTCGTATTGCATTCTCTTGGTTTTGTAAAACCACCGTTGATCGCACAAAAAGGATTGCGTTGGCTCGTCTAGAAAAGTCACTGATGAACAACAAAGAGGAAGTGGCAGTTACTCGTGACCCCGGTAAGTATGTTCTGAATATGTCGGATTTGAAGCTTAATGCCTTACAATTGGAAGCATTATCATTTGGCCTAGACTACAAAGTGCCTCCTAGACGGTTAAATGAGCTTTTTATTGAATCGCAGTTTGAAACCTTCTTT